TTGCCTTCTCTAGTGCAGCTCAACCAGGTCTCGTCCCATTCGTCGATATTTGTGATATCACAAATCCCAGAAAATATGCGTTGTAGTCCAAGTGAGTCGTTCGTTGTAGTTTTTGAAAAGTGATTTCTGTTAAATAAAATATCTCCTTTTGAAGTGGACTTTGAGCTTTGTAACTGTGCAGATCTTTTTTATGCTCAAACAGCAACATTACAGACTAACTGAAGTTGAAAAAGTGAAAAAGCATAATAGGACCCCTTTAAGGTTTTTGAGTAAAACATTCCTGGAATTTTCTCCTTGTAGTGGATTTCAATGGTGGTCAACGGGTTGACGGTCCAAATTGCAGTTTTAATGCAGCTTCAAAGGGCTCTATATGATCCCAGCCGAGGAATAAGGGTCTTATCTAGCGAAACGATCTGTCATTTTCTAAAAAAATAAATAAAATTGATATAAAACCTTAATTTCATTTCGACTGAAGAAAGAGACATGAACATTTTGGATGATAAGGGGGTGAGTAAATTATCAGGAAATTTTCATTCTGGAAGTAATCTTTAATGCACACAGATCTTTAATGCATCCATGGTGAATAAAATAATAAAAAATGTGCTGACCCGAAACTTTTAAATGGTACTGTATAAGTTCAGAAAAAAACCTGAGTCAACATTTTTGTTGATTTTAATCAAAATCAGGGGTCAGCAACCTTTTGGGCATTTTACATTTTTCTGGTTAACCACTGTGCCTTTAACTAGCAATAGGAAGTAGCAAATCATGGTTTATAACTGTCATGTAAACCGAAGGCTAAAATTTAAAAAAAAAAAACCTTCATAAGTTTCACCCCAGCTTCCTGTTTCCATATGAAATAAAGAGCTATACACACATACAAAGTGCATCCATATGTTCAAGGGAGTGAGTCAGGAAACTAGCTAACTATCATGTTTAACTTACTCGTTCAAGAATGTTCAAACTAGCTATTTTTCAAGGAATTAAAAAAAAAATCTATCAAGAAAATTGTGAACAAGCAGTTTTTCCATTCAATTTGCAAAATATAAATGGAAAAAAAAAATTTACCCACTGGGGAAGTCACTGTAACTTTTTATGCTAATGAAAAATGCATCCACCTCAATCAAACATTATGCAATATCCCAAAATTCACGTAAAACTATACAGATTGCTTGTTTGATGGTGTCTGTTTGTATTTTAACGCCTCTGCAGCTTCTCTCACTATTTTTATGATGGAAATATTTGTACACGACACATTTCAGAATGTTTTATGAAACAGAGCTTGCAGTTCTTGTACCATTAGATTTCACATAGTTTTGTAAAGTAATATTTAGGCATAAAAACAAAGTGTTTGGTCATTTTACACGTCATTCAGACAGTCTTCTCCTGTCTAACTGACTATATGCCAATAGTCAAAGCCCTGCTCTGTGAGACGAAGTCACATCTGCTAGCAAAATACAGGTCAATGAGAAAACCAGAAACACCCACACCTGAACGGAACATTCCAGCATTTCAGCATTTCCAGAACCGCACAAGACACTGAAACCTTTCCTACGTTCCCTAAAAAAACTGATAATCATATTATATGTAACATATAAACCCATTTACCATACATAACATACACTGTTCACAGCCACACACTCATGATGTTGTGCTGCACATTTGACATACAGCTTAAAGGTCAGACTGGGTCAATAAACTGCAGTTCCACTGAAAGTCTAGTGCAAAGCCCATGTTTATCTGTCAGATATATGAACTTCCAATATTTACAGTACAGCCGCTCGGTCACTCAGAACGACCCCCGATGGTGAAGCTCACGGTCAAAACCCACCGCAGGGAAATAAAGACTCATATTACACAAACTATCAGCGGAGGAACCAACACAAAACATTCCAGCACATAAAAGATCAACAGCTTGTGTAGGATAGTGGCCAAACGACAGGGGAGACTTTACTGAATCACTCAATAAACCCCAAAAAAAGTCATGGTCAGAATTATTAGCACCCTTGGTAAAACTGAGCAAAGAAGGCTGTGAAAATAAATCTGCATTGTTTGTTCTTTTGATCTTTAATTCACTGAAGTAAATCAGAAATTATTATAGAGTAAAATATATTACCATTCATATTCCTAGTGAATGGGTGTAGAGATTCAATAGTCCAATAGAAGTCCAAGAAAGCGCATCCATCCATCATAAAAAGTGCATTACATGCAGGGCTCGCAAAATTTCAAAATCGATGGTAGACATTCTTCAGATTTTGGTAGCCCAAAATGAATTTAAGTAGCCCGAATAAAAAAATAAAAATAAGACATCGGCTGAACTTCACTGCGGACAAATCAGCATGATTAAAAACTTCAATGATTGCTTTTTTTCTTCAAATAACAAGTCAAGAGAGTAGGAATGCAACGGATCACAAAACCCACGGCTCGGATCATATTGCATTAATATCATATCAGATTTTGAGTAACAGATCGGATAATTTTGTAGATGAGCAAAAAAAATATGGTTCTTTATTATTTAAATAACAGAATACTACTTTGATACCACAGCAAAAACTAGTAGCATATAGGGATGTAACGATTCACTCAACTCACGATGCGATGAGATGCGATTCACGATACTGATTTCAAAATACAATTTTTATTTTTAACAAAATTTGATTTAAGTCAAATTATAAATGAAAAGGTGTTTTTTTTTCTTCAACAAAATGCTGCACATTTCTTTGTAAAATTTAAATATGTCAAATGATAAAACTAACTTGAAATTTTTTAACAAATCCCAAATCAAACAATTAAATAATACAAATAAAAATCTCTTCATATAAACAAACTAAGGCTTTGCCTGTGCTTTTTCCATTTAAAATCAGAGGCAACCACTGCATTTTAATCATGATCCAAACAAAGATGCTAAATACATGTTTAGATTGCAATTAGATTGTATAATTTCGAAATTTGAAGCAAAAACTGAATGGTTTGATTTTAGCTTTGTGAATGAGACGTAAATGTCACTCTGACAGCAGGTGGCGCTTATGGAACAGC